AAGATGACTATCAATTGAGTTACGAGTTTTGGCCGACACTTAATGAGGGAAAACAGTCGACACATAGACAACATTCGTTGCATAAGTTTATCCGAACCATTCAGGACTCGTTCTTTCCGCCTATTCTTCACATTCCAGTCATTAAATTGTTGAAGTCTTTGGCCACGAGTTCGGCCTTCAATGTCTTCAATCTCATCAAAAGCCCGACTCTTCACTTGAGTTCTCAGTTCTCTATGGATTACTTCAACACAACTCTCCTTCAATATTATAACACTGTTCGCGGCTCTGATAATAAAGAGCGAGTGAACGCCAGCGCAAGCACTTTCGGCTTATCTAACATTCATGTAGTACTGCCCGGACAGCAACGGTTCACTTCTGGTATTGAATCGGAGATCATATGCGCTATCATTGAGTTGATTGAAGTGATTGTCACAAACGTATGGCATTTTATTATTAGTATTATTACTTTGTTTCTAATTGCTATCCATTATCTTATAGGATAAGACATGTTGTTTAGCCATTGCTGAGAATCTTCACTATTCGATAATCACATCATTGGTGGGAATACTGAGATGTGCTGTTCCTAAAGAGCTAAAGGCAGCCATTTTGAACTGTTTATCCGGATTTGCTTTGTCTTCATCTTCGGTTTCTATTATGATTTGGTCTAAAATTGACGGAATTTTACCAAAGTTTATGCCGACTGTAACCTCCGGAGTGCCAATCGATCCGTTATCTCAGCACCGGTTGTGGCAAAACGGAATCGGCATTGAAATCGAAGAGATTGAGGCCAAGAATGAAGAATATCCGATAACTATAGGCTTTGTGAGACTTATGAAATCACTATTCATTCACTTCGACTCCAATCAATCACAACAACAGTCTTCAGCCGATGTGTGCCTTAATTTCGTCATTAATTCGATTCTTCTTAAAACGAATGCAAGAGTTTTTAAATCCGAAGATCAGAAATGGATTATAAATTCCATTTGTTATGAAATTCTTCAGACAGTGATTGAGAACTATGAGCCGTCAGTGGAAGGACCCAACTCTAAGACGGCTTTCAGTATATTCTCGCAGACACTGCAAGAGAGCGGACTTTTTAGGCAAATATTGTATACATTGGAAGAAATTGCCGACACTTTCGACAAACAGATGCTTTCTGTGAGCTTTGAGAGCGAAACTAGTTTTCCTAAACTTATAGAAAACTGTGCTCTCAATGGACTCAGGATTTTGAAATTGATTTGCGAGAAACAAAACGACTTCATTGATATGGTTCACGAGATACCGGGCTTTCCATTGGCTATAATCGCCAAATTCGATGTACTCTTCAATAACGTGAACCCGAGAACGGGTGCCATCGATAGACTATCCACTCTAATACGGCTCATATATCTGCCGACGCGGGCGTCCATTGAAACGCTAAAACTGTTGAACAGTCTCTGCAAAAGCAATCTCGAAGTCTCCCACTTATGTCTAATGGTGCCATCGATAGACTATCCACTCTAATACGGCTCATATATCTGCCGACGCGGGCGTCCATTGAAACGCTAAAACTGTTGAACAGTCTCTGCAAAAGCAATCTCGAAGTCTCCCACTTATGTCTAACACAACTCCAGTCATCCGACTCTAAAGTGTTAACAAATGAATACATAATTAACTCGTTTGTCGATTGTCTGGAATCGGATTCTAAAGAACTTCGTTTGGAAGCATTGAATCTAATCGACACGTGTCTGGACTTCGTTCGCGTCAACTATTCCTATAATTTTGCCCACAAATTGCTGGGAATCGACAGAACTCGCGCTGTCCTCAAAGACGCGGGACAGTTGGGACAGTCGTTCACTTGCTTTCATTCAATTCTTTCGTTCTTCGACTCCAATACCGATATCAAGGAGTTCTCAGAAGAGCGAAGACTTGGAATGAAAATTCTCTACAAACTATGTGTCTCTCACTATACTTATGAGACTGTATTAAGATTCTTGAGAACTAGTTATGACTTTATTGTCCAGTATTTACATTCCTGGGAGAGAATGGCTTCCGATTCGGATTATAACGAAGAAATGCAAGAATTAATATTACAAGAGATGACTTATTTCCTACGAATCTTAACTATTGATATTAAGATAACATCTGAACAGAACCTCAAGTCTCACTGCGCTTCTTATGTCAACTTTTTGTTCACCGAAACCAAAAGAGGACGCATTCTTGACCTCTTGAGCCCCATATTGTTTAGTCATTCGCATCCAGTTTTGCCAAATCTAGAGTTCTTTGAACAGAAAGGTCTGTGGAAAGCAATCAACGAGTGCTCCACTGCTACCAAATCGGTTGATCTCAAAGCACTTCATCAGCGATTGTTGAATGAAATCCGATTAATTGGTCCACAACTGGGAGTCATTCAAACAAATCTTGTGAGAAATGAATTGAAGACTATTCTGTCATTTGGCGCCGCTTTGAATGAATCGCAACAAAAGCTAAACATCAAAACCAAATACTTTGACTCTTGGCGTCAATTACTTGAGATATTGATTATAACTCGAAGCCTGGAATCGTGTGATGAAGAGTCGAGGATTAGATATTTAATGGAAATAATCACAGAATTGATTAACAGGGCGTCTGATTCGGCGACATCTGCCACACTATTGAGTCCCATCTCTTCATCTGTGCTAATGATTTCATCGACACTCTCTGTCAGCAAATCTCAAGCCCTGACTTCAAATGTATCCACTTGTTTGAAGTCGATTCTATCGATTCTGGACTCTTCTTCGCCGGTCGTATGGAGTGATCAGAAGATAACTCGAATCAATTTCTATGCATCGCTTCTCTATTTATTCCGTTCGCTTCCATTCA